AGTTTATCTAAGCACTGACACTAGAAACAGGTCGTCTACCGGCACCTCTGAAGCTAAATCAACATGTTATATCATGTTCATATCATCCATAGAAATCCAGTTAATTGCAGGAATATAGTCCAACACATGAACAGGCATGAAATGGGTTGTGTCTCTGTGGTGATCGTCAATGAACAAGAGGTTCGGAAACAGTTGTCTGTATAATATGAGATTATAATCTCCTCCCTGAGCAACGCTGTGTCTCAAGGAAGACTGGAGGCTACAGTCAGTTGCTATTGGAAAGCTATTGGAGTCTGGTTTGAGTGAAGGGTTGGTTACTGGGCTGAGCTAACTGCTGGAGCTTATATTCATTCTAATCATCAATCAATCGTACTGATCTTATCATGTGATCCTCGTAGCTAAAAATGAAAGAGTGTATTTCCCAAACTCCTCCTTTAAATGGGACCTATTATGCTTTTCCAGCTTTTCAGACCTATAAATATGTTTAAAATGTTGGATACTTGCTTTAGAGGACGTGGAAGTGCCATATCATGAGGTAGGTGAGTGCTGAATTAATCCCTGGGTGCAGTTTCAGGCAGCTCTGAACCGTTTTGTTCGAAGAGTTTCTTCTAAACTCTCAATCTGACATGTCACAAGTTGAGGGGAAGTTCCCTACGTGGCAACTCGCCTCGCTCTTGCCTCAGAATCCAAGCGTTTCAGAGGGAAGCAGGAAAGAGCCAAAATGGAGGAGTACACAGACAGCTTGTATGTAATAGTTATGGAGTTTTGTATTGATTGAAACTTTCAATAGTGCCACACTGGGGTCCATTATCATATTAAAGGAACTGAGCATAATAGGTCCCCTTTAAGGACAGATAATGTATATCATTTAGATATGAAAAATCATTTAGAAGCAACAGTGTGTCTTCTCAATTTTGATCTGCTACTCATGATTACTTTAATCATGTTCGTGCAGTGGATCATCCTTCGTTTTTGTTTTTATTCTTATCTGAATATCTCAATCACCAGTTTCTGGCTGCGTCTGTTTATTTACTGTACAGGGGCAAAAAATCAAGACTGGAATGAGCTGATACAGTATAATGAGCCACTGTCAGTGAACAAGTGGTTACAAGTATCAGGGATGATATACTACATCCAGTTATAGTGGCAATTACAAAGTTTTAAGGGCACATTCAAGTTCATGAAAATGAATAAGAAAACCATTCAATTTAGTCTTTTGTGTTCCCTCCAAGAAACAGCAATAAATCAGATCTCTATACTTCCTGACTGTTAATAATCTGAGCATTATTCAAGGTCTAATGGATGATACAATCAGACTGAGCCAAAGAGTCGAGGTTTAAGTGTAGTCTGTGTGACATACTTTATTTCTCAGGGCGTGGTGAGGATGATGGATAGATGGTTCTTCAACAAAAAAAAATCCAATTAGCCTTTGTGCTCTTCATCTGCTTTGCTACAGATTGTCTTATACATGTATTCAGCTAAATCAAAATCATAACATCTATTTATTTAAGAAATGATCATGTATAATAATCAATCCTCATGAATTTGTTGCATATCAACCATTAAAACAGGACTTTGACTGAATGATGATTTAAATCATTTAAATCTAGTACTATTATCATAAGCCTGGAAGGATCCATTAAATACTGACCCTAAATTAAACATGAAACTACAAGCTAACAGGGCCTAGCTTAGAGACTGTAATTAATTATAAGAAAAGCGCTTTGATCATGTTTATGCTTAGAAGGGAATAAAAGTGTGAGGAGCAAAAGAAATTGTAAGTAAAAGACTGGGGATTGAATAAGCTGACCCATTAATTAGCACTGAATAACAGATAGAATGAATTACTGTAATTTAATTCAGTCATTCTACAAAGAAATAATTACTGCCGCATGTATAATGTAGTGAGCAGGAAATGTATTGTGATCTCTGAGGCTCTGTTCTTGTCAATATATTCATCAGTAGCGGGAGCGTGGCCTCTATTAGCCTTCCAGCAGGCTATTTGATTGTGAGGTTCAATTTATTTGATATTCGTCAACTTTTAATTAGCATGCTAATCTTACCTGGACCAGTGCATCAGGGTGGATACAAATGTAATCGGTGCATCAAACTGAAGCATGAACTATCAATGAATTCCGGATGGTTGGTGGTGACGAATCGCTTTGACATCATTGATGAATAGCTGCTGGAACAAACTTTCTCACCTTCGCTTTCTATTTCTATTCAGCCACATTTGTGTCTGTACTGTGAGCAGGCAACGGGACATAATTACTAGGCTACGTTATTATTTTGCAGATGAATGTGCAAACGAATTAGCAGATGTGTCTTTGCTCAAATTAGCGTTTTCAAAAACTGACATTTAACACCAGCTCGCTCAGTAAAGAGTAATTCATTGGTAATGAACATAACGTATGCCTGGATATTTTTCAGTTAGTTTTGGTGGGGGTTTTTTGGTGTTTGGTGTTTTAGTGTTTTTTCCCCCATTTTGTTTCCAGCAGCTCAGACTGTACATGGTTGATGTGTGGCTTGCTGATGATGGGAACTCTGACCCAATCACTTCCTCTCCTGCCTATCAAACAAAACCACACGACCAATGTAGGTAATGTACAAATTCATTTCTGCAGATACGCCAACCGCACTGGCACAGAAGATAGTGTAGAGCAATGGTTCTCAATAAGCAGCCAGCCCGCCGGCCACCTATTTGTGGCCCCCGAACTGTCTTCACTATGTGTTTTGGTTGGGTCAGCACGTGTATACGGGACTTGTCTCCATGCCAACGATACACAGACAGCCTGTTACTGGGTCACTCACCGCTGCGAGCGCAATTTTTAGCTTTCACCTTCGTTTTTGGAGCAGTTCACATGTTGACGTTTTGCCAGCTGTAGGAGCCTAGATTGCATGAAAATGACAGGTTCCAAGTTCACTGCGAAAAGAAAAGTGGACAGTGAAAATCATCGGCAATTCAAGAAAGAATGGACTGAAAGGTTTGCATTCATTCTCCCTCCAACCAGCAAGAACCATGTGCTTAATATGCCAGGAGACTATAGCTGTGATGGAGATTTCCAGTTTGAAACGGCATTATGAGACGGAGCACAGGCATTCTGAAGAGACTCTTCCTCAAAATTCAGAGGTAAGAATAACAAAATTAAATGCACTGAAATTGTCATATCAAGCTGCAAGCAGGATTCTTGTCACATCTATGACACAACAACAAAAAGCAACAGAGTGCTCACTTAGGGTGGCATGGACCTTTGAGTCATTGAAAACATCTTTGTGGCCCTTTAAGATTTGTAATTGAGTGATGTAGAGATTATGCAGGAAACATGGTCAGAGCTATTTCCTACGTATAATGCCCCTGCATAATCTATGTCTTTACTACACGTTTGTGTGTCTGTCTTGCAGAACAACTTTTATTGTACATTACAGTTTCACTGTTTGTTTTTTTTCCAGTACTAAATGATCCCACTGTGTAGGTGCAGTTCACACACAAATATAATTCCATTTACTGTGGTTGTAGAGTTTCAATCCCAAAGTAAAAACAATCTCAGAGAGAATACGTGTCGCTGTCTAATTATACATGAATGCTGCTCCTGGGCGAACAATACAATATTTTCACTAAGTGAGTGACTAGAGGGAGGCAGACGAAAAGACCCCCCACAGAGCTGCGTGGGAGTGATGGGGGCTAGATGTAGGAGCTATGCACCACTCCTGCTCTGCCACACTACAACACTGCCACCTCCCCGTGTTAAACAGAGTTTGGCAGAAGTGTTTGTTAACGGGGCCTCAGTCAGCCACTGGCAAGGCCATGTACTCTACGAGCTAATAAAAATGTAACAAACATAATAGGACAAATTTAAATGAGCAAGCTCAGCATAGGACATGTTGCTGTTTGACACTGTAGCACCCGCCATGCTGCCTTAATGAAAACGTGAGGAGACTGTGTAGTACATAAAAACTAAATAGCTCTACAAGTGCTGTGCGTTTCTTCTTTTTCCAGGAAGGATTGCATCCAAGAGGGCTCCACACACTCTCTGCTGTTGACAGTATTCGCCACTTTAGCAGGAAAGAAGACAGTTTGTTTGGGAAAGGCACAAGCAATCTGCTGCAGGTTGCCAAATCACAATGAAACCAGTCATACACTAAATATAAAACTACAAAGAAATTATTCATAATGACTTGGAGACATCTGACAAGATTTATTTAATGTGTGTTCAAAGCCACTCTCTCTCAGATACATTTAGTCTTAATCATCTATATCTGGTCCCTGGAGTGCTTCTTCCCTCCACTTTCAAATGGAGAAGCTGTTTTAGGAAAATGGCTTATGGCTTCAGTCCCTGCCAATAAATGACAAGGCATTTTCTTAGTCTTTCATCACATATTTTAGACTGCAGAATCACCCCGGTGGCTGCTGATTCAGAGTCTGTTTATAGCCGGCGATGATGCCTCTCAAATGAGATTGCACTATAATGATCAGATATGAATGTGACCAATGAGTTGATCTGTGTGTTGTGGTCTTATGTGGAGAGAAGGGGTCTTGAACTTGGCTTGAGCCTCGGCCATTTCTCAACCTGAGCAGTTATTCATTTGTTTCTGTGAAGCATTAGTTTCAGTGGAACATTTGTCTGGAGCCATTAGTGAGTGGTCAGCAGCAACGAGCTTGGAGCTGGAGCAACATGTTTACAGCTGACTTCACTCGCTACCCCATCAGCATATAGACAGGAGTGGATGTGTGTGAAATGAGCACTGTGAACCGGAGAACTAATCAGATCAAACTAAAACTTTGTGTTTGCATTTGTGCATTTGTGTGTGCATTTTCACTTTTATTACCATGTGAGGTATTTGATAAGAGAAAGGACCTGATGAAGTCAATCAAACAGAACATTCATCACAAACCGCAGCTTTTCTGCTGTTTCTATATCATCAGTTGACTTACTTTGAGTTTTTTTGACATAATGTATTGGTGATAATTATTTATTAATTAGTAATCAGCAAAAATGGGTGGCACGGTGGTGCCATGGTTAGCACTGTAGTCTCACAGCTAGAGGGTTCTGGGTTCGAACCCGCTGGCCAGCTGGGGCCCTTCTGTGTGGAGTTTGCATGGGTTCTCTCTGGCTACCTCCCACAGACCAAAGACATGCAGGTTCGGCTAACTGGTGACTCTAAATTGCCCATAGGTGTGAATGGACATGTGAATGGTTGTCTGTCTGTATATGTCAGCCCTGCGATAGACTGGTGACCTGTCCAAGGTGTACCCCGCCTCTCGCCCTAAGTCAGGTGAGATAGGATCCAGCTCACCTGCGTCCCTAGTGAGGATAAGCGGTATAGAAGATGAATGAATGAATGAATGAATCAGCAAAAATATCCCAAAAATCATTACGGGACATTCCTGACAATTTTTACAGACGTAAACTCAACATCTTTGAGTTTTAGACTGTCTGTCAGTTGTTGGACCGGTGCATGTCTAAGTCCTGACATGCATCACGTTGTTTTGCTGTGTCCTGAACAAAGCTACATTCAGCTGCCATCACAGCCCTGCTCCAAGACTTTTTCCATGTGCAAGTAAGAAGACATGATTTCCCTAAAAATAATAGGCTACCACTTAATTTTGTCTGTTCAAGTCAGACGACTGGAGCTTGACATTAACTCATATCAGTGAAACATAAAAGTGTATTTTTGCTCAGTGAGGACTACAGATTTTGTCACATTTCCTACAGCACTCATTATGAATATATATTCATATCGCTAATACGAAGAGGAGGGATATTTGCACAGCTCGCACATACCATCTTTATTGGTAGTGGTATTTATAAGTTTTGCTATTGATACATAGCTGTTAATGTTAGCATTAGCAGCTGTTTGCACTCCAGTCTAGAAGAGAAGTTGCGAGCTGCAGCATTACACTATGTCTTTACTCACCAAAAGCTGTCTCCAGTGGTGGAAAGCTGCACCAGCCCCTGTCGCGGCTTTCCTTCTACCAGTGTTGCCAGATCGCAGTTTCCAGCCCAAACCACGAAGCTGCCAGACTCCCGTAAAACCGCAAAATCATTACGCATGCAATAAAAAGAGCTTCATATCTGTGTCAAATAACCACAGTAAATAAATAGGTTATCGCAAAATGCAACCTACAAAGAGCGCAGTGAGTCAACCAAGTAGGCTACACAAATTGCAAAATGAACATCTCTCATTTTTGCGTAGTCATGGCAGCCGCTCCAACATTTCAAGTGCGCCCTTATTGCAGACTTTATGGCAAATACACTGAGACAACTGGGAAAGTCAGCGCTAGCTCACTGCAGTGTGTGGAAAGTTCTGGTTTTAAATGTATTAAAAATGTATTTTAAGAATAAAACATTTTTTTAAAGAAAGAAAGAGGTGTGTCTCATAAAACAAGCACGGTCCTGCACTGATAGGTCGCATGACCTGGAAGCTTTTGAGCTAAAATTTAGACCTACCTGCTATTTCTGTATAACCCGTCGTTGCTAGGGATGCTGCTGGGATCACCACTTGGATCAGCTGCTGAATCATTGTGTGTGCAGATTTATATAGACTAGGCACAAATGATGCAGTTTATAAAATTATTCACATACGCATCGCCTCTCCCTCCCTCCCTCTTTCTCCTCGCTGCTTTCCACACCTGTGGTGCTGAAAGACACACAACAACCTGAGAGCAGTTTGTTTTCACAATATTAAAAACCCGCCAAACGTGGACTAAACCAGCCCCAATGTCATCCACGCGCCCAACTAGGCGAAAACCCGCCCAATCTGGCAACACTGCCTTCTACCGAAGTTAGCATGCTAACCAGCGAGCCCCAATCTGTGTTGTCAGCTCCCAATGGAGACTCACAGTCGCCTTCAATCTGCCCTGAAGACACAGCACTGCTCAGACAGCAACTGTAACCTCTTGTCTCAGAAATGCAACAATGGTCACCACCCACTACCAAACATGGCCACTTTAATGTACAAATGATAAATGCAACAGTCAAGAGTGTTGCATTATTGGGCAAAATACAAAAATCCTTTCATGAATCCACCAAATACTTGGTGATTAAACTGACTGAGCTACAGTATGCCTTCTGGAGGAATTTCTAAGATTCACAGTCAGTAGGAACTTGAATACTTTCCCGGAGAATGACTCTAGTCTGGATCCACGTCCCTGCTCATATTTTAGGCCATTGCTTTTTGCATAGATTAGTCACTGTTGTCCATCAGCACACATAATGAAGCATAATGGCAGATAATTTGTTCAGTGATGCACTGCCTTTTAAAGACGAGGCAAATTGATTCCATCACAGTTGCTCATACGGTACTTTTGGCATTCACAGTGTGAGCGTAGCGCAGTGCTCAGACATGTCAGCATACATGCTCAAACACTTCTATACACACAAACACGTGCACCGACACTTCTGTTTACACCCAGACACACACACTGCACACAATACTCCCAAACAGACACACATGCATACACAATGTGATTGCAAAAGCCTGACACATTTATTGAAATCTGTTTGCAAACAAATGTTTGGTAGGATGTTCTCTATGGGAGGCAGACGATTAAACAAACTGCCTGCAGAAGACCAGCGCTGTTTATCTGCTTGGCACACTCACCAGCTGAAACTCGCAAACTGTCAAGGAAGTGTACAAACAACACACCTGCATCAGCACACACACACACACACACACAAACACAGGCTAGTTTCCACATCCTTTTTCCTTTTTCCACACACAAACAACACACATACAAAATGTAGATCAAAGTAAAACCAGAGCAAAAACTGTTATTATCACAGCACTGATGACAACACAGAATTTTGTGTCATTGCAACCGATTTTATTCCAATCTTTGCTATTTCAGGGCCTGTTGGAGGCAAATAACAGCCAAGGGTGGGAGATCAAACAAGTCATTTTTAGTAGAGTGAGATCTAAATGTGAAGTCACCCCCAAGTCAAAGAATTTTATATCACTTTAACCAAAATGAAATCCCTGATCATCCCAAAAATGAACTTTAATGGTAAATGTGATGTTTCTTTATGACACTGCATGTGCTTCAAAGGTTTTCAAGGTTTTTTAGGTGTTGTACAGAAGTTATTGGAGGGGAGGAGAGCTCAGAGAAAGGGTAGGATGCTGTAATTTTTCTCCTGGTTGGAGGACGGACACTCAGGCAAGACCTTCTCCTGTTTTCAGGCAAACAGGAGAAGGTCTTTAATCTTCTTCACGTCAGTGATTTAGGTTTTATTTTGCCTCCCTTGCAAGATCAGTTTTGAGAAATGCAGTACTCAAGGATCTTCACAATATTTAGCTGAGATTTTTCCCTCATCTCTAAACTTTATTCAGCATCATAACAGAGAGCAGAATTCATTTGTTTAGTACAGTCATAGTTATTTGTTTAAAATGGCTGGTATGTGACATTTTGTAATATTTGCTGCTACAAAAACAGCTTTGTTCCCGCTCTGAGTTAAACAAGCTGAAGCAATATATTGCACATAGTTATTTATTTTCATATTTGATTTTATTGGGTTTTAATTTAGTTTTTAACTTCTTTTAAACTTCATTAACAATTGGTTTTAGTCCAGAGCTTTTTATTATTTTACTTTTTACCAGAGCCATTCTTTTTATTGAGCCTTCACTCTCTTTTATGTCCTGATTAGTGGAGCCTGAGAACCTCTAGCACTTTTATCACCAGGTTTATAGTCTGCTCGTATGTGTTGGTTTTGTGTTACATTTGATTGTGTGTGTGTTTTTTCATCATCTGACTGCAAAACAAATCTACCTGTGGATACAATAAAGTAACCTGAACCTGAACCTGAACCTGCCATAAAGCTGTTCATTATATTTCTGATGTGGTGGCGACATAAAAAAATATATTTTAACTAACATATTAAGGTTAAGGGTGGGACACAGTGTCTTTCATTGTCTACACTGGGAACTATGGAACAGCACCAGCACTGAGGTATTAAAGCGATAGATGTTACAGTCTCTCCTCAGTCACCTGAATTCACCTACATGGACACCAAATGTCATTTCTTTTTTTTGTGACAGCCAGCTCTACATTTAGTTTGTGGAAAATATAAACGGATGAAAAGTTTCCTGCATGTTAGTGGAAACTTCCAAGACTGAAAATTCTGCTCATCTTCAGACGCACCAAACACTGACTCAAGTGACATCAGATTTTACACAGCTCCCTCAGGAGCCACAAAAGGCTTTATACAAATATGAAATAGTGTTCCCTAAGACCTGTAAACAGACTCTGATGTGTGATATCAGTGGAGTTGCCCTTTAATATTATTTCCTCCATTGAACCTGCGTTGCCTCCTCTTTGCTTTAGGCTCCAGGCTCCAGGCTACATTAGTCAAGACTAACACAACACATCTATGTCTCGGTCTCAACTGTCAGGGGGGCCTTTGCATTGTGGGTAATGTAGGCATCAGATTTTGATGAGGGGAAAGAGTATAGAATTGACCTTGATCCTTTTTTTTTCTCGTCTATTGAAGATTGAATTGTTTGAGTGTTCTTTGACAGTGGAGGAGCCTGCTCTGAAACAAAACATACTCCGTACCTGACAGGCCTTTCACCACTGGTGTGTGTTTGTTCAACAACAGGAGGTGATTTTTTTTGTGTCATATGTTCACATGTACATAATGCGAAGAACATGCATATGTACAGGAGGATGTCTGCTCTTACAACAAATGTTGCTTCTTCCCACTGATCTATTGTTGAAATAATGGCTGAGTAGAGCCAGGGAGGACAAAGCCCATGTAATGACCCTCACTGTACAGTGACTCATGCTGGATGGCAGCACTGTACCAAGACAAAAAATAGAGCCATTTCCTTTTGTGCTCTGGGTTTTTTTAGGCCACTAGAGACTGCAGGAGGAAAATATGCCTTAAAATCATTTCCTTCATTGCATTTGATTTGCATATGAACCGTCTTATACTGAGGAATAATAATGAATTATCAATGACATATAACAATCTAAACTGCTCGCACAGTGATACCACAAAACATATTATGATAATGACTTCAGCTTATACATTACTTGCATATTAAACTTAATGGCCTTAAAGTCCTAAGTGCCT